GGAACTTAGAGGTTCGAGGATCGACCTTGGGCCTTTTGGGCTTCCAGGGGCTCCTAGTCGTCACGTCTGAATCCGCCTCGAGCGTAGGATATTACACCCTGAAAGCACCCCAGAACAAGTCCTGGGATCGTTTGTCTCTCCCTGGGCGTAAACATCCTCGCGTCATGAACAATAGCAAGACGTCGAGGACAAAGCTGTCGGACTTTCGGAGGTCAGCGCGGATTTCTCACATAGGCTCTGGGCCCCCGTCCCTGGCGCGCGGACCGCGCCATGAGCGGCATCGGAGGCGTCGCCAGTGGGTTCCAGCGCCGATCCAGGAAATCCGCGCGAACCTCCGAAAGATAATGCTTATGTCATTGTGTTTTCCCCGATGACGCGAGGTTGTCGGCCACTTTCAGCATCCAGGTGCCCTCTTCGGGCCCTGGGGCCGTCAAAAAACGGTTCGGGATGAAGAGCTGGTCCCCAGAAGGGGCCCAGACCTCTGAGGAGCCAGCTTGCGACAAAAATCGCCCAAGGGATGTCTGGGGGGATAGGAAGACCAGCCCCACACGGGGGGCATCTAGCCTTAGGTCGGGCGTGTCCCCTACAGGCGGATGTTGGGCGAAAAATGGTTATTTTCCGTAATCAAAAAAACCGTCCCAAGACTAGTCTTTGACTATTTTTGAATTTGCCCCCTGTAGTGGGACGGGCCCGACTTAAGACCAGCCCCACACGGGGGGCATCTAGCCTCCAAGTCTAGAGGGCCAAAAAACCACCCCGATAATAATGACCCCGACACGCGAAGCCGTTTACTAAACGCCTCCACTGAAGGAATCGAACAGGGCAGGGCTGTTTGGTAAACGCCCAAAGCCGCGTAGTAGACGCCAATTGTCCGGTTCGGGTGGTTTTCCTCCCTTGAGGAAAGGGGGACCAGTCCCACACGGGCGGCATCGAGCCTCCAAGTCTGCCCCGCCTCAGTCGGCCCCCTCGGCCCGAGGCGCGCGCTCGGACCCTGGCCACCAAGCTCGGCGCTTGCTGAGCCTCTGGGCACACGTGGCAGTAATGACATCTTGCACACGGTGCTTACCCCCCCGATGAGGCCCCTTGCCTCTTCCACCTGTGTAGAAGGCAGAAAATCCACCCCGACAACAACCACCCCGACACGCGAAGCCGTTTAGCAAACGCACCCAAAGAAGGAATCAAGGAGGGCAGGGCTCTGTTTAGTAAACGCCCAGGGCCGCTTTGTAAACGCCTAGTGTCCGGTCGGGGTGGCTTTTCCTCCCTTGACTGTGCGCACCAGGTGCTTCTCCCCAAGGCGCGCCACCCCCCCGGGTGGTGCACCTTCCCTCCCCCTTCGCGGGCGCCCACTCCTCCAGGTGGATTGTCCCCCCTCTTCCCAACTGGAGCGCCTGCCCCCCCAGGTGGGCCTCTACGCCCGAGCGCGAAGCGACCGAAGCGCCCATCCACCCAGAGGGGGGGCTCCACACATGTATGTGCACCGATCAGGTGCGGCCTTCCATGACGAACTGGGTGGTCATAGACGCGACCGCCGTGCTCCCTGTAGTGATTGAGCTCTTTCCACGCCCGGGAGGGTCCTGGGTGGGGCTTCTGCTCCGCCCCTGCTGGCTCCTCCCGGGGCCGCCTCCCATCAGCCGTGCGCCGTGCCTGGCCCTTGCTGTCCCTGGCTGTCGAATGAAGGGAGGTTCCCCCTCTGGCCGCTGCCTCCTGCCTCGCCTCCCCAGCTGGACCCCGCGCCTGCTGGCTTCGAGGCGCGGCGGCCCGGCGGCCTCCCTGCTGTGTTGCTTGCACCGGCCTGGAGGACGCCTCCCTCTGCCCCGCCCCGCCGCGCATGCTGCGGGGCGCCCCGCCTCGCCAGCACTGGCGAGACAGCCTGGCCGCACCCAGCTGTGATGCGTGCACCGGGTGGGTTCAGTTTTCTTGCCCCCCCTCACCGCGCCCGCCATCGCCGGGGCGTCCCCGCGCGACTTGCGGCACCGTGCCGCCCACTGACGGTGTCCTGCGTTGCAACCCCGGCCCCCGGCAGCCCTGCTGGCCGTCTCATGGGCGCCTCCGCCAGCAGCCCTGTCACGCGGCCCCAGCCACCGCCCCCGCAGGTTCAGCCGCCCTGGCTCCTGGCAGCCCAGCTGGATACCGCAGTGGCCCCGCCAGCTTTTGCGCCGTGCTGCGTCACTTCAGCTGGTGGCGTCGGTAGCTCAGAAGTCCCTGGCAGGTGATGTTTCGCTGCCCCCGGCAGCGCAGCCGCAGACCAACAGCCCAGTTCCCAGCATCTCAGCAAGGCTCTTGCAGCAGTTTGCTGCCGCGAGTTGCTCGCGACCCTGCCCCTTTTGGCTTGGGCCTTCCCGCATCCGCCAACCCGCCCCTGCAGCGAAGCCTGTCACCGCAAACCTCCTGACGAATACCTGGATACCGTGGGCTTGCTCGCCGCTCTCCCTCCAGCACTGGTGCGACTTGGTCTTCGCTTTCTGCGCCTGCAGCCTGCGCCTCAGGCCCCCAGGTGTGGCCGCGATGCCGCCCCGCGTCCACTGCCAGGCTGCTTCAGCAAAGGCTGGCCGCCCTGGCCACTCCAGTCGGAGTTACTCGCGCTGCGGGTGCCCTCCTTCCTTTTCCAGGCCTCCGCGGCCGCGCTCCGCATCGGCCGCCCCTCTTGCCGCCGTACCGCTAGTGCGTACCCGAGACCAGCTCGCTAGAGCGCACGTGCGGAGCGTGCGGAGCGCCTCCTGCCGCGCTGAGACAAAAAAAAGTCTGGGGGGAAAGTGGGATGCGATGATGGAAACATTGAGCGGCGCTCCCCCCCCATCCCCAACAAAAACCAGCGTCGGCACGTCTGTTTGAGACCGCTCAGGCACCAAAACTCGCAGGATGCAAAACCAACATTACATCTGGTGGCAACGGGGGGGCTCAAAGCATCTGCTCTGCAGCGAAGGGATGGCTGACGAATCGGCTGCATGCACCTGACTTTCCCGGCACCTCCCGGTGCCAGAGGCGACAGTGTACCCAGACATCCAGCGTCGTGAGCCTTCACAAGCGTGACTACCCAGAAGTCTAAACCTCTTCCAGGGGCCTGCTTTTCGTCCCGAGCCGTTCTTTGACGGCCCCGGGGCCTGGTACAGTCAACCCGTATAATAAGGGACGCACGATAAGGATGCAAAGGCCTTGCAGGGCCAGGTCGTGGCACTTTGCGGGCGGGGCGCGGCCAGCAAAAGCGGCCAACGATGGGCCGCAGGGGAAGCACGCCAGGGTAACATTGGAAAGCGGTTCATCCTTACTATGCGGTTTGACTGTAAGGGCCCCAGGAGGCCCAAAAGTGCCTGAAACCATCCGTCGCGATGTTTTCCACGACGCGGGCATGTCAGGGTACCGAGGAAGGCGCCTACTGGGATAGACGCAGGGTTTGCTGAGGGGATCTGGGGGGTGTGACGTCAGTGGATGCCAAGGTGGGTTATGTCTGGCCTAACCTGGCTCATCCCCCGTATGCCCTTCGCAGCCCCCGCGCCCATCCCAGCAGGAGGCCCAAAAGAGCCTGAAACCATCCGTCGCGGTGTTTTCACGGCGCGGGCTTGTCAGGACACCGAGGATTGGCGGCGCGCGGAAGGGGGGGTAGGGGGAGGGGGGAAGGCTTCTTAAAAGCACCCTTGCTTCTTGGAAGGCGCGCTCCTTGTCTGCAGATGTAGAGCCCGCGCCTTTAAAGACGCAGCCTCCTTCGCAGGGGTGCTTCGAAGAAGTCTTCCCGCCCCCCCCCCACCCCCCACTTTGGAGTCCCGAAACGGTGCGGTCACAGACCCTGCGGCGACCTCGGAACCCCACGAGACCTCACCGCACGGTCCGTCACCGCACGGCCTTGGGACCCCGGAGGCCCCTGTCGCCCGAGACATCCTCGGAGAGGGACTCGAGGCCCAGAACCGTGCGGTGACCCCGCATCCCCACCGGCTCACCGCACGGCGTGGTCACCACGATGTCTGGGGGCCCGCGGCCCCCCCCCCTCTGCGCGCCGCCGGGGGGAGGGCGCCCCGAGCGGCGGAGGCGGAGCCCGGCGGTGTGCAGCAGACGTCGCGCCGCCCCGTGTCGTCCGACCCGATCTTTGGCCGCCCCGCCCAGGGCGGGCAGCTCGTCCCGGGCGAGGGCAGTGGGCTTCGAGGCTGTTGGGCGGTCCTGCCCGCGCCGTGGCGCGGAAGGCCTCACGGGTGCAGCCAGCCCGCACAGCACGGCTGCGCGGTTAGGATGCGGGGGCCCTGCAGGGCCAGGTCGCGGCACTTTGCGGGCGGGGCGCGGCCAGCGAAGGGGGCCACCACCAAGCGCCCGCGGTATGGCTGGAAAGCGCCCGCCACCAAGCGTACAGCGTAGGATATCTCAGGGCGAGCGTCGCCCGTGGGGTGCAGACGCACACATAGCATCGTGTTAGCATGTGCGGGCGATGCCGACTTTATTCGGCGGTGGACAAACCTCCCTATAGTAAACCACCCATTAATGAAAACGGCCTAAGACCGAAACCGACGGACCTGGACCCGCAAAAATGCCGGCCGCGACGCCCTCTCGCGAACCGAAAACGACCAATTCGCCAATCGACGTGTCAGGGTAAGGGGTTTATCAACCTCCGACTTATTGTATCTGGGGCATCCAGGGGGCTCCTCGTCGCCACGGCTGCGCTGCCCGCGAGAAACTCAAGCCAGAACGCCGCCCCTGTGCAGAGCCAGGGGGTGCTTGTCCAGCATGAGTCAAGCGGATCCTGCAGGCAACGGGTCCTGTACCCAGGAGCCTTCCCCTGAGGACCTGGGACCAGGGCTTCATCCTGAGCTGGTTTCTGACAGCCCCGGGGCTCGTGGAAGGCCCTGGGAAACCCAAGAACGGCGAGAAACCTCAGGGCTCGCTTCTCCGGGGACCCGCTTCCCCCCTTGGGACGCACGACGACACGCTAGTACTGTACGGTTTCCTTGGAGGCACGCGTCCGACCCGACCATCCAGTGCACCCATATTGTAGCATCTCGTTTCCCGAGCGGTGTGGCCAGAAATCGCCCTTCTACAACGCATACACTACAGGAGTTCTCGGTGCGCGCGTCGCTCCTGCGGGGGGGCGACGCACACGTAGTATTAGTGTGGCTGGGTGACGCCGACCCATGGCGACTGTTGTATAAAACGACGCGAAGATCGGGACAAAATCGGATCGGGATAACTCGAAATCTCTGAGAATCGGCGGGTTTGGAGGATGTATTGGGCGCCGCAGCCGCTCCAAAGCGTTCCGGAACGCTCTGAGAGCGCTCCGGAACGCTCTGGAGCGATTTGTCCCGATCCTAGCCCTGTTTTATTGTACCCCCAGCCCAGAGCCCCCGCCCGGACACGGGACGCTCCCTCCTGAGCAGGGGCTGACCGTCCCAGCATTCCTGTAGGCCCACCACAACATGGTCTCAGAACCCAATAGTGGTCTAAGAACAAAAACCAGGTTCTCAGAACGTAAGCCCGACGTGTTGAACCAACACAGTCTGAGCCAGAAACGTTCTAAGAGAAATGTCGTGCAGTGCAGACCCCAGAAGGCTCTTGGAACATTCTTGGGCGGCCCTACAGGCGAGCCAGGACGCTTCGCCACTGCTTGAGGCCCTCGGGCAGGCCGCCCCGGCCCCCTTTGAGGGGCGGAGCGGGCCCGGGGCCCTGCATGGAACGGCGCCGGGCCGGCGCGGCAGCAGCGGCCCGCCGAGACGCGGGTGTCAAGAGGCAACTACTGGGAGGTCTTCGTCGGAAGGATTACAAGGAGGATTAAGCCCCAGTGCGGGGCTGTTACGCCAGAGTGGGCCTCGGATAAAGCGGGAGTAAACCGGATGCAGCGGGATCAAGCCGGATTAAGCCGGATCGAGCCGGATTAAGTCGAATTTCGGACCAGGGAAAAATCAGAACTTGACCTCCCAGGAGCTGCATCCGAATTGGTGTCGCTCGGGCGGCGGAGGACGTCGTGGATGCTGAGAAAACCTGGAGATCCGAGGATCTGATTTCTTCAGTCTGGAGGTTTTTCCTGGTTTTCGGCCTCCAGGAGGGACCTTATCGGGCCCCGGGACCGTCAAAAATGGATCCCGGACGAAAAGCCACCCCCAGCAAAGGGGTCGGGACCTCTGGGGCCGCGCATTGAAAAAAAACATGTCGGCGGATGCCTGGGAACGTGTCGCCGCGCCGTTCGTTCTCGACGCGCCCAAGTGGACGACACCGACACCACGGCAAACCCACCTCAAATCCACGGCAAGCCCTACGCCCGAGGCGGCGTTTGCCCCGGTGGCCGAGGCGCCCTGCCCCAGGCGGAAGGCCGCGCGTCGGAGCAACCGGCGCGGCGACATGCGGCTCGAAGGGAGCGAGAGAGGGGGCGAGGAAGTGGGGGGGAGGGGAGCCCACACCCCCAAGAGACCTCAAGAGGCTCCCAGGAGGAATCGAGTGCCCCCGCGAGCGCGGGCAAGCGATGCTACGAGACGGTCCTCCGAAAAAGCCTCCAAGACGCCCTCGGGTGAATCTTCGGAAAGCTCCCTAAGAGGCACCAGAGACTGCACGGTTTCCTGCGGGGCCGTAGGCGACCCGAGGAGGAGGAGGAGGAGGAGGAGGAGGAGGAGGAGGAGGAGGAGGAGGGAGAAGGAGGGAGGGGAGGATTAGGAGGAGAGGGAGGGGGAGAGGAGAGGGAGGAGGAGAGGAGGGGGAGACGGAGGAGGAGGAGAGGGGGGGGGAGGAGGGGAGGACGAGGAGAGGAGGGAGGAGAAGGAGAGGAGGAAAGGAGGGAAGGGAGGAGGAGGAGGAGGAGGGGGAGAGGGAGGAGGAAGAGGAGAGGAGGAGGAGGAGGAGGAGGAGGAGGAGAAGAGGAGGACGGGTCGCCTAAGCCCTTCGGAGAAACCCTCCACCAGAGACCCCCAAGACCGCCTGGACACATTCCCAGTTGCTACGAGCAAACGGGCGCGCGGCAACGATGGCACTGTACGGGCCGGCGGCATGAACGAAGCGATTGATAAAATGCCAGTCTCGGACCCCTCCGAAGATGGCAAAGACCTTCAAACATCCTAGGCGTCACAATGATTTGGGCCGTTTCGAGCTTCTCATTTGGCCGCCTCTTGTAGCTCTCTGGGGGCCTCTTCTGACACTCATCCGGCCTCTCTGGACGCCTGGGCATAGCTTCAAGCCATCCCGGGCTGTCAAGAAGGTCGTCTCTTGCAGGAGGACGAGGAGGAGGAGGAGGAGGAGGAGGAGGAGGAGGAGGAGGAAGAGGAGGAGGCCATCTTGGCTCGTCTTGGCCGCCCGTTTGGCGCCCCCTTGGCCCGTCTGGGGCGCGCCCACGAAGTCTCCGGACCCCCTTTCGAGCCCCTCCGTATCCCTCTTCGCTCGCGCCCCCCATCTTCAAACCTGTTCGGCGCCTGTTCGCAGGCTCTTTCGGCGGAACCCTGTCGAGCTCTCTCGGGGCTCTCTCGAGGCACTCTCTGCGAGTCTTTGGGCGGCTCTGTGAGACCGACCGCGGACGCCCCCCAAGGGGCCCCCCAAATGCCTCGGAGACCCCCACGAGGGCCCCGAAGAGGCCGCCATGAGGCCCCCCAGAAGCCTCCGAAGATTTCCCAGGGAGCCTCCCCAAAGAGTCCTCTCGTCCACGGCCCGCTCTGGCCGAAGGCTCTCCTGCTCCCCCCAAGCCCCCTCCCCGCGGACCCGTCTGAGAAGCCGAGATCAAGATCCGTAGCTCGACTCTTCCGCTGAGGCCCCCGTTGTTGTCGACATCGGGGGGTGGCCTTTGCCGCCGCCTGCGAGTATCGCGGGGCCTTCGTGGGCAATTTCTGGATACTCGTGAGCTCACTTGTGTCAGATGGAACCCCTTCTGCGCGCCCTCCGCTGTTCGGGCTGCCCTGGTCCACCTTCGCTACCCAACCTCTGACTCCGCGTTCCAAGAGAAGGGCGGCGGTGGCGTCTGACCCCTTATCAGGGGCGTTCAATTACTAGAATACGCATGGCCCGAGAGGAGCGAGAAAGTGAGCCAGGGAGAGGGAGGAAGCGGAGCGGGGGCAGACGAGACGGGCTACGGTCGGGCACTCTCGCTCAGCGTCTCGCGGCGGCGGCCCCGGGGCGACACGCGACGCCCTGCATGCGAACGGCGCGTCGCTCCGCTCCGCGGGGCGGGAGGAGGCCCCCCGGAAGCGCGCGGGGCGCTGACGCGCGGGGGCCGGGGCGTGGCGAGGGCGCCGAAGCCGAGGCGCGGCGGGCGACGCACTGGGCCGGAGTTCCCGAGCGCAGGAGCGCACGCGCCATCGCTGACGCCCTGCCGGCTCCCACCCGTCGCTGCCCGTCAAGCGACCGGGGCGTGTCCTCGAGGGCCTCGGGCTGAGGAGGGGCACCGTCGTGCGGCGCGCATGCAGAGAGGGGGAGCTCTGCACGCGGGAGGGGGCGGTGCCAGAGGAGCGGGAGGGTGAGCGGGCGGAGGAGGAGGACGATGAGGAAGGTCGACGAGAAGGAGCGGGAGCGGGAGCAGGAGAAGTAGGATTAAGTCGGGCATGTCCCCCTACAGGCGGAGCTTGGGCGGAAAAAAAAGTCAACAAATAATCCCAAATAGTCAAAGATAGTCAAAAAATCGTCCCCTGACTATGTCTTGTCTATTTTGGGATACTCCTCCTGTAGAGGGACAGGCCCGACTCCAAGGCAGGAGCAGGAGGAGCGGGGGGCGCAGGAGTGCCAGGGGAAGGCGGAGAGGGGGTAACAGCCTCCTCCTCCTCCTCCTCCTCCTCCTCCTCCTCCTCCTCCTCCTCAGCGAGAAGGTCCCAATCGACAGAAACCCACAGGGCGAGAAGTCTGAGATCCTGCATGTCTGAGAAAAAACACTACGCGGGAGAGAGGTGGGAGCACGCTGGCGCAAGATCGGGGGAGAGAGGAGAGCAGCGCTCAAACTGCACAGTGGAAGGAAGGGGAGGGGCGAGCGGGCAGGGGAGGAAGGAGAGGGGGAGGAGGCAAGGCTGATGCCTCGCGCGCGCCATATGTCTGACATCCTAGCCCTTCCACCCATCTGTTCCCATGGCGCTGCAAACGCATATGCTGAGATCCTTCGTGTGCGTTTGAAACAGCAACAACAGCACAAACAACAAAAGCAGAAGCAACAACAACAACCACTACAACAACACCAACACCACCAACAACAACAGTAACAATGGCATCAACTACAAACACACCACCAGCAACAACAACAACAACAACAACAACAACAACAACAACAATAGCACCTACACCATCACCAACAACAACTGCGCCAACACCAACACGACAACATCATCAGCAACAGCAACAGCAACAGCAACAGCATCGCCAACAGCAGCAACAGCAACAACAGCAGCAAAAGCAACAGCAACACAACCAACAACAACAACAATTAAAAACACAACCACCGCCACCACCACAACAACAATACCAGCAGCAACAGCAGCACACCAACAGCAGCAGCAACAACCACAACAACCAACAATAACAACAACAACAACAACAACAACAACAACAACAACAACAACAACAACAATGACAGCAACAGCAACGGCAACAGCAACAACAACAACAACAACGACGACAGCAGCAATACCAACAGCAGCAATAACAACAGAAACCATGCCATTAACATACATCAGTTTAAGACTGATCGCTCCCATCTGCTCGCATACCGGTCAACACATATATCCCAAACCCTCGGTACCCGCCGTCTTCGTCTTCGATTGTGCCCCCGTGGGGATATGTCTTCCGTACCTGCCGCGTGCAGTTGTCGCAGCCCCTGAGACAGGGGAAGGGGGGACGGATGGAAAGGGGAATGAGAAGGATGAAACACCGGATTAATGATTAGCAGGAAGGGGGCTAGGAGCAGAAAACACGTGGCAGAACCAGACGGGCCCATCGGGCGGGTAGACCCTAATGGGCGGGTCGGGAAGGCGGGCCCAAGCGGCCAGGTCGAGAAGGCGTGCTGCTGAAGCGTGAGCGCTGCATGAATCGGAAGAGAGCTCGAACGACTGCGCAATTCCCAAGTAAATTGTGAAAACAAAACGAGAGCGTGATTCCTGAGTGTCGAGAGCGCGGCGTCTGAATTGTGAGGAAGTCCCACACGAAAACGCAATACGTGCATACATTGTGAGGACGTCCCGCGCGAGAGCGCGATTTGGGAATAACTTGTGAGGCAGTGTCAGGCGGGAGCCGTTATTGTTGTTGCTGGTGGTGGTGATGGTGGTGGTGGTCGTGGCGGTGCTGTTGAATACTTGAAAATATTGTTGATCCCCCCACTGGGGCACATTGCTTCTTTCAAATAAAATGCTCATCCCTGAGCTCGCACCCGGCTTTTACAATGGAAAGCGAGGGATCACCAAACTGGCCCCCTGGTCCCCGAGTTACTACAATAACGGCTTCCGCGTCATATTTCCTTACAATGTATTTCAAATACGCGCTCTCGCGAGGGACTTCCTCATAGTGTATACAAAAATTGCGCTCTCGCGTGGGACGTCCTCGCAATTTAACTTTTCAGGCGTCGCGCCTCCAACCCGTAGGAATCACGCTCTCGCTTCGGCTTTTCAAATGATTTCCTTGAGGATCGCGCTGTCGCTCGAGACGTCCTCGCGATTCACGCCCGTCTGGTTCTGCCACGTGCCTTCTGGTCCTGGCCCCCCTCCTGCTGGTCTCTCTCGTGCTCCATCCTTCTCCCTCCCCCTTCCATCCGTCCTCTTTTTCCCCTGTGAAAGCGCTGCGCTAACGACACGCGGCAGATAAGGAAGATATACCCCCAAGGGGAGCACGATCGAAGACGAGCAGGGCGTGCACCGAGGGTTCGGGATAGACGTGTGGAATGGGCACGCGGTCAGGTAAAACGATGGTTGCTCCTCCCCCTCCTCCTCCTCCTCCTCCCCCTCCTCCTCCTCCTCCTCCTCCTCCTCCTCCTCCTCTTCCTGCTCCTCCTCCTCCTCCTCGCCCTCCTCCTCCTCCCCGATGGTAAGAGAGAACCGTCTTAGAACGATGGTTGCTGTTGTTGTAAGCCAGATGCCGAAGACAGAGTTCGGTGACACCTCACTTTCCCTTGTAAATAACCAGGTGGGAGCACTCTAACTGAAACACACAATGGCTACTGGAGGGAGGGACCAACAAGACTTAGTCTTTAGAAAAGAGAATTCAACAACACGAACAACGACAATCAGTTTAAGACTATTCGCGTTTATCTGCTCGCGTGCCATTCAACACGTATATCCCAAACCCCAGGTACCCGCCCACTTTGTTTTCGACCGTACTCCCTCGGGGGTACATCTTTCTTACCTGCAGCGTGTATTTCGTGGCGCCCCTGAGGCACGGGAACAGAGGACGGATGGAAG